CAAAACTGAATTGAAAAATTACACGTTTTTCCAGGGACAAGCTTTCTGCTGCCCTGCGGTGATATCTTCCAAAACATTTGGGACCTTCATTTCTACAGATTTCATTTTGCATCCTCATGGTGCATCCAAGGATGGAGCTCTGAGACCCAAGGTTGGAAACATAGTTACTCAGGAGGAGTATGAATGGGAAGAAGTCCCAAAACAACAGGAAGCATGCTTGAGGAAATACAGCTTGTGTTGCCAAAAGGCTTGATAACAATGTATTGTGAATGCAAAGCACCTGTGAACCTTTGAGCTGTTCAGAGTTTGCATGGAAAGCTGGAAATGTCTTTATACAGAGATGTTGGTTCTTGTCGCTTTTGTGCTGTTCTGACAAATGTGCTGCATATGGAAAATGCTGATGACATCAAACCAGAGAAGTTTGTTTTACACCTAGGTTTTAATGTGGGCTGTGGACCAGGAGGCTGGATCCTGAACTGTCAGCATCAAATGAAGGCTGGCAAAGATGTCACTGATGTGCTGGCAGTTAGTACTTTCCTGCTAGCAAACAGGCATTAGGAAGTGGTCAAACTCAACCATAAAAGGCCATTTACTTGGGGAGATGATTATTTTCATTATGCTTTTTTGTTTGTTTGTCTAAGACTAAGAAAAAAATCAAGAGAAGAAGCATTCTGCGAATTTTCACAGAATCATTAAGGTTGGAAAAGGCCTCCAAGATCATTAAATCCAACTGTCAACCCGTTACCACTATGAAATACTGTCTTTAACACACACTTGAATATTTCTACGCATTTCTTTCATTTCTAAGATAATTCAGAATAATTTTGAAAAAGAATTTGCAATTTTAGAAACAAAAGTTGGGAAGAAGTGACATTATTGTAAGCAACATTAAGCACACAGGTTTGACCTCAACAAAATGCCACTTGCATAGCTCAGATTATTTTCTGTCATTCATTCTTGAATGATATTTTCTGAAGATTTGTATTTCCAACGAAATTACCTGTGGTGTGTGGCCAACGTGATTTGAAATGACAGAGTAATTCACACTGCTGTTCTGACTCTGTGTTGTTAGGGGACAGTTGGTCCAGATCCAGCAACTAGGAGAAGGTGAGGCTGGGGCAGCGCCATGCCTGGATTATAGAATCATTGAATGGCTTGGGTTGGAAGGGACCTCAAAGATTATCTAGTTCCCACCCCCCTGACGTGGGCAGGGTTGCCAATAACTAGATTAAGCACCAGATCAGGTTCCCAGATGCTTTTCCCTTGCATCCCATACTGTGCTCTATGCCACCAGGCAGGCAGAAAGTGCTTTGGTGTTGGCTTATCTGCGTGAGTTTCACACCTGGACAGTGGGGCTGAGGCTGTCATGGGATAGCCACAGACTCAGACAGGGTAGCTCTTTCTCTGAGTCATTATTTCACATTTTCATCTGCCCTCGTGCCCCTGTGCTGGAGGAAATGGGCTCTAATGGGCTGATGGCTCCCTAAGATGAGCCAGGAAGCAGCCAGACAGGGTACTGTTTGGACTTTCCCACCTGTCCATGTCTCTCTGTGCTCCTTTGTGGCATACGGGTGAGCTTTCTTCACATTACCTGACAAATGCAATGAGAATACACTGCATTACAAGGTGGATTTATAAAAAAAAAAGTATTTCCTGAAGTTCTTAGGAGTTTCTTTTATTAGTCTATCACATAGATTTGATTTTATCCACATTCCAAGTTGGCTAGGACCAAAGTCTTTCTTCCGATTTTGCAATACAAATAAGATCTACCCTAGGAGGAAAACAAATGTATTGATTTTCCTTCTTTCCAGAATGCAAGAAAACAATGAACACAGTTAATTGCAGTGGATTGGTCCCAGGATATTTTATTTCAGTTCATAAAACTTAGAGGACTAAGCTCTGCCCTCCTTAATGACCATGGAATCGCACTGGAACCACTCCTGCATTTGGAACCCCCCACAAAGGAACCTGCCTCACTTTTGATCTTGCCTGAGAAATGCAATTTTGCATTTTCTCTGCATTGTATGCCACTGTGTATTGCAAGTTCGCTGCAGAATTAAGTTATCTTAGCACGTCCAAGGGTATTTTACATGAGAACAAGAGTTTACGTAGGAAGCAGGAGGAAGTAGGAAGGAAGCAGGAGAAATCCAGACTGCAGATAAGACCCAGTAGCTTAAGATAGCTTAACCTGCTGACAGCAGATAAAGGTAGGCCCAGGCACAGTGAAGTTCAACCCCATTAAACTGTTGGTGCATCATAGCTGATCAGGGCTGGGCACTTAACCTCCACATCTTAAGTTCTCAGGAATTGTTCCTTGGTCCAATGCCAAAACAACCTGTTTGCAGATATGTGAATGGCAAGGTCACAGTGAGTTGTGTTGATAAAACCGTGTCTGGTTGCACGCTGCTTCTCTGCAATAAGTTAAATTGACTAGTACAAATAGTATAGAGAGATGAAACAACTCCTCTAGAGTGGGGGTTGCAGGCACTTAGCCCAGGGCCAGGTCTCACATCAGCAGCTAACATAGGGCTGGCTGCTACTTTGGCACTGCCCCACTCTTCTTGCACGGTGCATGGTCTCAGATGCAGTAGAAGCCTTAGTGCAAGGAAGAAAGAAAATCCTGATCTCCGGGTTGGATCTAATTTGTGTTAAGAACAGAAAAAAATGGGCCTCATCCAGGTCACAGCAAAGCCAATGAAAACTTTTTCTATTCATTTCAGCATGCCTTTTCCTCAGGCCCTAAATCATATTTATAGTCCCGAGAGCCTTTCTGTCAGGATATATTTATATATATATTTTCCTATTCTGAGCGCCCATAGGAAACACGAGCATTCCTAAGTAAACGGAAATAGTCAGAATTAAAATAGAGTGTGTGGTGTGTGTTTCCACGCTGGAGAAGGGCCGTAGGAGTTCTGCTCTTTTCTCACCTTCACCCCGTGCTATAACGGCTGGTATGGTTACAGTTTGTCACTGCAGTTCACTGCATAAATACAGCATTTTTTTTTTTTAATTCTAAATATAAGTTTAACCATAGATGAGTTTAAAAAAAAAATGTTGTGAAATGGGTGTTTGTTTTTGAGGCTGCAATTGTGTTCTTTTCTGAACAATACCCCATTTTATGGGCTTTTCCAAGACGGTCCCCTCCCTCTTCCACTTAAAAATAACTGAAGAGCAGCAACTGTGTTGACAAACAGTGATTTGGCTCAACATTAACAGCAGGAGGAGTTCAGCCAGCCAACATTGCAGCTTTTGAATTATCTGGCCCATAAATGGAGAATCAGTTTGTTTCTGGGAGTTGGCACTTCCTGGGGAGCTTGGGGGCTGTGTTTTTGTTTAGACTAGCAACTGCATCCATACCAGTAAAGCAAACAGATTTGGGACCGCTCTCTGGCACAGAGACCAACTGGTGTGGACAGGGCTGTTAAAATCCCATTCCTACTCTCCAAGGCATGGTGACCTCATCCCCAGTGCCTTTTGGAATGTGAATCCCAAACTGTACCCAGGGAGGTCTCTGGTTAGCACCGAAACTCACCACAGGTCCCTTCAAAATATTCATTTTAGAAACAGGCACACAGAATTGCTCTCTGCAGTGTAATTCACTGCCTGAGCAGCCTGGGTTAATAAAGCCTTTCGTTATCCAGGTTGACCTGCTTGTCAGCCTTGGTTGCATTTGTTTGGTCCAGGCAGCAAATAAATCTCAGGGCATTTGGCAAGCAGCGACTAACTAGGTGGCACGCACTGCCCATCACGGAGGAGAAACTTGGAGCAGAGCAGGGGTTCACAACCATGATCGAAGCTCCTGCTTTCAGGTTTGGCTTTACAGAACTCGGTAAATATTTAAACAACACCTCTGAAAAACTGTGCTGTATCTATGTCCAGCCCTTTGGAAAAGCAGTTTGGCCTTTAGGGTGTCCCTGCAGATCCCCAAGTGAAGAGGCAGCAACCTCTTTCCTTTGTGTGAAGGAGCTTGGGGGGGGGGGGTGAAATGGGAGGGAGCCTACAAGGATTAGTTTAATATGGGAATTTCTGACAGATAACAGTTGCTGTTTTGCTCTTTGCTGGCTGGATGCCTGAAGCTAAGTCCACAAGACTTTGTTTGCTGGGCTTTTGCTTTTTCACAAACTGCCCGTATTCTAATGCAGACTCTTCTCCAATGTTTTTCCTTTTTTTTTTCTTTTAGTTAAGAGAATGCTGATTAAGCGATGACACTTTAGAGGCCTTTTTTTTTTTTTTTGCAAAGATCTAAATTTTAAAAAGCCACAAGACATCTTCTTCCCATGAAACAGTGGTGTTGTGGGAGGAAGGATCCATTATTCAGCTTTTAAAGACTCGGTGCTTGCTTAAATCCCCCATCCGGGCTGCTCAGCAGCCCCCACTCCCTGCCTCTCTGCCTGGCTGGGATCTCAGGGGAGCCTCAGAGATCAAAAGCTGGCTGTACCTAGCCTACCTTGGCAGTAAGACGGAAAATAACAATAATCCATGCAAAACAAAGGCCATTTATCCTTTAACTTCCTCCGTCTGTCCCAGAATATATGAGCTATTCTTGCTTAGCTTTCTCCGAATTACAAATCCAGCCAGAATGCTTAGGAAATGAAGCCTGTTGGGGGAGAAAGAGAATGGAATGAACTCTTCTTCCTTCCTGTCCTTCCCTCCTCTGTCTGGCGCTTTTTGTTCAGCTGGATCATGTTATGCATACTTGGCTTATCTGGTGGCTATCAAGGTCAGCCTAAGGGAATAAGGTGTTTCATTGCTATTCAGATGACTGACCTGTAATTCAAACAGGGCCAGAGAGCTGTGGCTGACTCAATATAAAGGGGCTAAACTGTCCACAGGTCGATGTTCTGCCCTTTTGGAAATTTCAGCCTGAAGCTCCTTGGTATGCATTTAGGGCAGCTGAAGTCATAGCTGGTGCTGTGTTGAGGGCTCAAGTTTTGGGATGGGCAGTGAAAAGCATGGAAACTGACATTTGTTTTTCTCTTTTTCTATGTGTGTGTCTCCAGGCTTCGAACTGCTCTACATGGCTTAAATGGACATCAAAGTATGTTTCTCAGCTGGAATATACATCCCCTAACGATCTGATCCTTGGTGAACTATCTACAAGGAAAGAAAGAACACGGTCTGCTTTTTACAGTTTGGGTCCTGCACAGAAGACCTGGAATGTGAAAGGATAAGGATCTGTCTTTGTTGAAGCCATAGTGGAAGAAATTTCCAAGCACCGTGAATAGGGAAAAGAAATACCCAGCTCTGCCTTTTTTTAAGCCTGTCTGGGAAAAACGAATCTTCTTCCCCTGTGGACAGAGGTACTGCAGTTGTAGGTATAGCCTAGGCCCCAGGTGGTGAGCAGCCCCGAGAGGACTAGCAGCAGCCTGTCTGTGTTGCCTTAGCTTTCCCCCCACGTCGTGCTCCACCAGCACCAAGATGGTCACCGTCAGGAAAAGGAACGTGAAGGTCTTCACATTCGCCTTCGTGCTCATCACAGTGACGTCGTTCCTGCTGAACTACAAGCAGCAGGTGACCATGACCACTTGGGATCCTAGATACATCATCACTCAGTTTTCTGAGCAAGTCCGAAAACTCATCAAATTTCCTAGGAGGCCGTGTAGCTGTAGCACCTGTATTTCCGAGCTGGGACATTCCCTCTGGTTCGACCAGAGGTTTAACTCAACTATGCAACCTTTCCTGACCTCACAAAATGCCTTGATCCCAGAGGACAACTACAGGTGGTGGCTGGTAAGTGGAAGGTGTGCTGGTGGGGAGGTGGGCTGCCCTTGGTGTGTTGAGATTTAGGACCTCGGGTGATGCTGAACAGGTGGTGGGAGGGAATTCCTGCTGTAAATATTTGTGGTCCCAGTTGACAAGGCAGTCAGAATAGGGAGAAAATGAGTGTTTTTGCTGATGTTTACCACACAGGTACTTGTTGACTATGTTCATTGGCTGCGAGTTAAGAAAATCAGCCTTTCGGAACATGTTCAGAGGAGGGCCACAAAAATGGTCCAAGGGCTGGAACACCTTCCCTATGTGGAAGGCTGAGAGAGCTGGGGCTGTTCAGCCTGTAGAAGACAAGGTTCCAGGGAGACCTGAGAGCGGCTTTTTGATATCTGAAGCAGGGCAATAAGAGAGAAGGGGACAGATTCTTTAACAGGATGTGTTGTGACAGGACAAGGAGAAACAGTGTCAAACTAAAAGAGGGGAGATTTTGACAGGATATAAGGAAAAAAATTTTATAATAAATGTGGTGAGCAGTGCAGCATGTTGCCCTGAGAGCTGGTGGATGCCCCATCCATGTAAACATCCGAGGTCAGGCTGGATAGGGCTCTGAGCAACCTGATCTAGCTGTAGGTGTCCCTGTTCAGTGCAGGAGAGTTGGATTAAATGACCTTTAAAGGTCCCTTCCAACTCAAATGATTCTATGAAATTCCCTGTCAGAGCTAGGGATTTGCGAATCTCAGTATTAACTCCCTTCTTGTTGGGAGGAAACTCCCTTCTTGTTGCAATGAGAAGAATTTGTAATGCAGCTTGTTGCACTTCAGGTGGTAAAAAAGGCCTTCTGCCTTTTTGTTGAGGCAGCAAAGCAAACTTATTGGGAAGTGTGTGAATCGTTTGGGGCTCTCCCAAGTGTAAGACTTGCAAATACTTAGCAGGATTAAACAAAAAATGATTCATTCCATGTGTATGAGCACAGGCTGCATTGTTGCTGGTGACGTAAAACAGGTCTGCAAGGCACACAGGTACACTGGGTCACGGGAGGGAGCAGTTCATGTGTATCCTTAGGACTGGGTGGTGCAAAGAGCTGGATCTCAACATCATGAAAGCCAGTAGATATCTTGTTCTAGAAGCATAGGAAAGAAGATGGTGTTTCCTGATGGTTTGTCTAATTGAATCCCCTTTTGTGTTTTCTTGAAATGAGATCTTGCATTAAATGAGTTGCTGATGGCCCCTGCTGCCCAGCTGCTAAAGCACAGGTTCTGGCTGGTTTCATGAGTTGCCTCCCTGTTTGTCACAAAAAAAATAGTTTCACAGAGCTTTTCTTGGAACACACAGCTGCCTACAACCTGGTCTCCCGTGCACAGCTCTTAATGTGGAATTAAAGTGGACATTCATATGCACGTTGGAGGGGTTCAGGTCTCGGAGGAGGTGTCAGGTACTGTAGAAACAAGGCTGAATCTGATTTATCACTTTTCACTCCATTGCCTGTTGCATTTTCTGGTGGAAAATAGCTGCCAGTAAACTGCAATATTCAACTGTTACATAAAATACATCCTCATTTTATGAAAAAGCCCACTTTGAGGCTATTGGTCTCATATTCCAACTCTTTCATCCTTTCACCTGCCCTTTTGCCATGACAGCTGTTTCCAGTCACCCGTGTGTTTTCTTGCTACCCTCATATGCTCTTCCTTCTGGTCCCCCTATTTCTCATGTGGGTTGTTCTCATCTGGGAAGATGACAGGCTCAAGTTCTGCACTCAGACCCATCTTTGATTTAAACACAAGGCTTGGATGCATTCTCTCTTTAAAATAAAAGTTGAAAAAAAGGAAGAAAACTTGGGACTTTCAGTACTAAGTTTCTGATTCTCCTTCTTGTAGTGAAACTGAAAGAGAAAAAGCACAAATATCTAACATCAGTTCAACTCGAAACAGATATTTGGAGAGGAGGGTTCTTTTTCAGCTAAATGAAGAGAGTCTCATCCCAAAGCTTTTTTCTTTTTTTTTTTTCCCCTAAATTTTCAGCTCTAACTCTATTTTTACTGTTTTCCTTCATTTTTTAAATTCAGGTCAAGTTCAAAGGGAATACACTATTTCAGAACACAAAATCAAAGCAACTTTTTCTTAGATGGAAGATTTCTATGCTTTTTCCACCATTGTTTTTCAGTCAGAACTTACCTTCAGCCAGAACATGTGAAATGTTTTGGTGACACGTAAAATTGCATTGTTCAGAGGAAATCAGCCACGCACCGAAAACACTTGCCCTAATATAATGTTAAATGGTGGAGGAGCCCTGCAGCTGCTGTTTGCAACCAGTCTGAGTAGGCCTTTCTGAGACAGTTGCTTCTGCAGTTGGTGTATCCCAGGTGCATCCTGGGTGAGCCCCATTTCTGCTGTTCAGTTTTAGTCTCATTTTTCAAGTTTATTCAGTGATTTCTGCCAGTCTTAAAGAAAACGTTGCTTGTGGCCACATTTTATGGTTGCTTGGTTTGCTAAGTCAGTGACTGGTGACTTTTCACTATATCTGTACTTAAAAGATGAAGCACAAGGAGAAATTGCTTGTTGTTACTTCATTTCAAGACAGAAATCTTGCAGGACAGACTCCAGACAGTGCAATGCTTTCATTACCCTGTAACTGAGGGGAGGGTGATTCTGCTGGAACTCTTGTATAAGGCTGTGCCTCTGGTATAATGGGAAGACAAAGGTGATATGAGCTAAATACATGGAGAGCCCTTGCTGGACATGTTGCTCTGTCAAGCTTAGCCCACCCTCCCTTCTTATAAACCCTGCTTCTAAAGTTATGAATAGGGGTTATTCAGCCAAACGGTGACATGGCACAAGTATCTCTCCACTTCTAGCAGAGCCACACCTCTGATTTCAGAGCCTAATTACAAAGATTTGAGGTGAAGTGACATGTGGGGCCAAAGGACATGGCGGTTTTGCTTGCTTGCAACTCTTTGCGTGGTTATCAGTCTCCTTCATGGCGTATTTGTGGAATACACAACCTGCTTGGTGTTATGTGGCCTTTTGGAGGGGAAATACTCTTGCTATGTGTGAAGGTCTAAAAATCTGCCTGGTTGTGTCTTTGTTCACAGAAACAAGAAGCTTCTTTGTACAGCTGTTACTTTTTGTTTGCTTAAATTCACCCAGGAGATAAACCTTCCCTTGATTTAGTCATCCTTCCTTCCCTCACTTTCTCCTCTCCTCTCCTCTCCTCTCCTCTCCTCTCCTCTCCTCTCCTCTCCTCTCCTCTCCTCTCCTCTCCTCTCCTCTCCTCTCCTCTCCTCTCCTCTCCTCTCCTCTCCTCTCCTCTCCTCTCCTCTCCTCTCCTCTCCTCTCCTCTCCTCTCCTCTCCTCTCCTCTCCTCTCCTCTCCTCTCCTCTCCTCTCCTCTCCTCTCCTCTCCTCTCCTCTCCTC